GTGGTGCTGAGACTGGCAATGACCACTGATGATGCCGACTACGATGCCGGTGAAAGGTTTGTTAATGTACCAAGTCCACGATCCGACTCTAGAAATTATCATGCATACTATGGATTCCGGACTATATGCTCTTCCCGCCAATACGACCAAGTTGCGAATACAAGGTCAAACAACTACTATACAACGAAAGGCGATCTCGACCATACAAAAGGTCACACTATCTAGGTCTTCATACCTTTGATAGAAAAATATTTTTGTCTAGATTTTTCGACAGTATTAATATCTGAAGCCCTTTGTTTCGCTGTCCATTAAGATATATTACCGACAAATTAATATGTTGGATGGATTAGAGTAGGCTAGTAATAATTTGAATACATAATTTGACACATTTAAAAAAGCCTTCAATCTGTATCCTAGTGACTGAGTAAAGTCTAACTTAAGTTTTATAGTGAATCCAGTAATATTCAGCTAATAAAGTATTCACATGAGCATGGACGTCCTGGAAAACAAACCAAATCAGGAAAGTGAATTTGGCATAGGAGTTTGAATGCAAATGTAATAGCACACTTTCGACTTCAAAGAAACAGCGAAGCCTAATTGGGGGACTTATCCTCTAAAAATCTATTATTTTTAAAAACAAATAAATCCAGCCTAAGAATGATAGATACAAGTAGATAATAACAAGCAAGAGATAGTAGTCTATTTATTTTACTATCATGACATCGTGCTTTGATCATAACAAAATAGCACAAGGTTTAAGGCATTAAAAAGTAAAATATGTATACCACTCGGCAAGACAGAGACATATTGCCTGATTTTACACGTTTTTACAAGGTGAATCTGTTTCCTTTATAGTATGTGTTATCATGCTCCTTTTCCATGAAAACACATTAAACAGGCTGTAGGCAGTTAATCTTAATAAAATGAATCCTAGCTTTCAATATTGAGCTCATCAACTTCTTCTTCTGAAGCATTATGGACTCGCTCGTCAAACTCACAAATTAGATTTTCATTATTACCGCAGCCTATTAATGAGTTGGAATATGCCCGTGCACGGAGGTCATGGTAGCCTGCAGTTCTTTGGGTGTCCATGCTAATCGTATCGTTAGTGCCAGAGACAGTGGCATCTTGAGAACACACTCCTCGGCTGGAATGAGAAAAGTGGCGGACCTGGTAGAAGAAACCTTTTGCTTTCATCAAATGCCGATTTGTCGAATGAGCTGCTCGCCTTAAACGTGATCTGAATACAGATGCGGCTGATTTAAGGTTAGCTGCATTCTGTCGTGTCTTTTGATACACAGAATCTGCCGAGTTAGATAGCTCAGCTATTGGAACACCTCTTGGAGCCAAATACATATGGCTGGAGGTTAAAGCAAATCCGGAAATCGTGGTACTTTCACCACTTGTGACTTTTTTTAGTGTAGAAGTCGTCTTTCTGCAAGCTGAATAATAAAGTTGTGGCCTATACGGTATTTCAGCGTACTCTTTACATACTTTTTGAGGATCGGCTTCTGTGCATGCTTGCATGCTCCGAGATATTCTTGTGATATATGGAGAGCATCTGTTAGTATCAGGTTTACTATAGGCATTCAGACTTTCAAAACTGGAAGCATTGCTGCAAGATTCATTTATCGGTAGGTTATAAGACGGTTCTTCGTGTTCGTAAGCAGAGTTACAGCTAGATATGTCAGCCTGAGGAGTATGGCATTGTGGCTCATCCAAAATATGGATGGGATAAGCAGCTGCTGTCAGGCGCTCAGAGTCCGACTTTTGAATTAACACTTCATTCAAATCATTCACCTCAGTAGCGCTTGTAGCCTCCAGATGGCATCGGATTCGGTATTTCGTCATGACTTCTCCATGATTTGAGCAGGGTGCTGAGTGAACACGCTTCTTGCGTCGGCTTATCATTTTAATGCGAGTTATCATCCTGGCCCGAGGTTCAGCTGACTCGGTTTCGTTTTGAAGATTTTGTTCGCGAGGAGTCACTGGTCTGGTGAGGGATAGTTGACGTGGGACAGCCTGTTGTGTTATTGGAGGCAACTGAAGGTCGGGGTCTTTCTCGAGCTCTACAGTAGGCATATCTTGGAGTTCCTGAACTGGAGCCAATTCACTAACTTGACTGGTTGTTTTATGACGGAAACAGGCTGCACTCAGATGGATATTGATATCAGAGACTGTTGGTACGCTAGGTATGGATTCTCGGGGGTTGCTAGAGTGCACGGAGGATTGGTCATTATCTGAGCTTTCGTCGAGCATTGATTGGTCCAGATGATCTCTGTCGGAATCAATATTGCCAACAGACATCAACGATGTATTGGTCCGACTGATAGGAATTTCGGATGACTGCATCACTAACTGTTTGCCGTAAAGGATAACTTTTTTAACAATGCTTGATGACAATCTAATCAAATCTTCTTCACTTGACGTAGGAGTTAGCTGACATTGTGGAGAGCATGACCTGTGTATGTGTGAGCCAAGCGAACTACTTTGACGACTAGATGTCTTAAGTGGAGAATGCCCAGCCGAGGAAGTTGCGAGCAGATCCTCTTGTTGGCGCAAGACTTGTCCCGTCGTAAGGTTGAGTAGCTGATTTGAGTCCAGTGAAATGCGAAATTGCTTCTGTTGTTCCCTATCACCGGGTCTGTTTGGCCCTTTCTGGCAGTTATCGGTTAGAAGAGAGGCAGCAAGAGGGAATGCTGATTGTGAATGGCTAGGTGAAGGCGATGAATGTGGTAGTGGTAGCGGAGATGTCAAAGATGGTGAGGCTGGAGGTGATGATGAAATGCGTGGAGGCGAAAGCTCGGATGCTGAATCACGCAGTGAAGGGGAAAGAGGCATAGGGCTAGGAACGGAACTTGCTGTGAAAGGATGTGTGATAGGAGATGCTGTCTGCCCCTGTTCAGAACGGGAAGTTCTACTCGGACTGTTCATTATATTCAAAGTAATGTCTGGCTCAGGCATGTCTTGCGGGTTCTTAAACTCAATGTTAAGTGTGATCACCTCGCTGCTGTCGTTCTCTGATATGTGCAGCAGCACAGAGGTAGGTGGAGTAGCAATGCTGACCGAAGGCGGTTCCAAATTGGCAGTTGGTGAATTGATATTTCTGCAATCCTTATATAGGGCAGGTGATTCTATTTCAGTACGGCACAAGATGGGAGCGCGCAATTGCTCTGTGTATGGATGACAGGTTTCATTCTCGGTCCTAGTAGGCGAAAAGGCGCGTGGAGAACTTAGGATAGTCTCGTAGCTCATAGTTACCTCAAGCTCGTTCTCTGAACAGTCCTGGAAAGAGATGAATGCTTTTTTTTTTACACTCTCATCAGCACTTATTAATGCGGGCACTTGAAAGATAATACGATGGCTTCGAGTGGTCAGGCTTGACAAATTTATTCCAGGTTGGTTGGTTATAAGGTTGTCTTGGGTGGTTACAGGCAATTCTATCGTCATCTCGACGGAAAATTTCAAGTTTTCTAACGGTGTAAAATTAGCCTCCTTTATACCTAGACAGGATTGAATAGGAGAGGGAGAGACACGCGAGCTGATATGAGCTTCGGAAGGACTCAAAGATGGATTGATGGACAGGTATGTTGAAAGGGCTATTGGGGACACCGGAGGTAAAGGGGAAACCGATGCTGCATAAGCCGAATCTGGAGAGGCTGGTCGAGTAGGAATAGCTTCAACAATAGATGATTGATTGGGATGAGGATAAAATGAAAAGTTAACAGATGTAAATATTCCTCCAGGAACAGATGACATAGTCACTCTGCTCGTGAATGGAGGTACGCCAGCAGTTGCATTTGGAGATGCGCTTTCAGGAGGTACCTCAGGAGAAGATGGAGATTGCAAGCCTTGTGTATACGAACTTAAGGGCGGCCTTGCCAATGGTATCTGAAAATCGATTACTTCAGTCAGATTAATCATTTGTTCAGAGGTGTGAGTAGTTAGTTGTTCCCTTTTGAAAGATATTTCATGTGACTCGGGCACCTCAATGAACTTAACTTTAATCGACGTGACGACATGAGGAATGACGGTGTTCAGCGCGAGAATAGGCATCTCATAAGGCTCGCTATCTGCGAGCAAATTAAGTTTGTCGGCAGATTGTGACTCATTAAGTGGCATAACAGGTGACGTTGGTGGCGAACAGGAGAAGAAAGGTTTTACAGATTCTTCCTTAGAACTCGGCATCGAGTTGGGCTGCGAAAGAGATGATACGGGTTTTTCGGAATAATATGTTGTTTTCACTGTCTGTTCTGAGGCATGGGTAGATGGAAGTTCGGTTGTCTGTTGAGCACTTTCGTATACTTCAGAATCCCTGTTTGAAATGACCTCTATCGACGAAGTTATTCGCAGTGTTCGCACGTTAAGGCCTGATTCATGTCTTCCGAAAATCGGGCTTTCTTTAATCGAGGCGAGCTGCTGAGTGGTAGGCGATGCTGGAGGTGAAATGAACGGCGAAATTGGCGACATTCGTTCGCGAGAGACTTGATCTGAGACTAAAGCAGACTGAGATCTACTTAATTTAAGATCTGGTTTACAATAAGAACAGTCTGTTGCGGCAGCTTCATCCAAAATCTGTGCAGTTGTTACACTGTGCCAATGAATAGGGTCTTCTCCAAATTCAGATTCTTCAGTCATCTTAATTTCGAAGGTTGAACTGATTCGCATATGCAAAATATTTGAGGTTGGTTCAGGCATTTCTACGCTAGGAGTCTCTTTAATGAATGCAACCTGGTGTGATGACTGAGATACTGGAGATGAAAATGAAACTGGTATGGGAGTCATTCGTTCACAAGTGTCAAACTCCAAACTAATTCCTGACTGAGAGCGAGTTATTTTGGGCTCATATTTCCCTTTAGAATGCACATTTTTAAATGCCTCTTCCGGAGAATGAAGAACCAGACCACCACCCATTAAATCTTCTTCAATTTCACATTCTTCATTCAGTTTGATTTCAAATGTGGAGCAGAATCGCATTTGTAGTAAATTATCCTTATTTATAGGCAATTCACTGGGGAAATTGTCTTTGACTATGGCAAGTTGTTCAGAGTCTGGAGATGGTGGAGAGGAAATCGAGAGTGTTACCGGAGTCATTAGGTCATGTGAGTTGCCTTCTTGACTTAGCCTTGATCTGGATTTAGACAACTGGGAACATAATAACTCTACGGAAGAAGAAACCCTAAAAGTTTGTTCAGGAACTCGAGTAGAAGGTGTTTTACTCTTACGGATATCAGAATCTATGGGTTCGGTAATCTCCTTTAACTCGAGATCAACCAAAGAGTTGGCCTTTATGAGCTGCGGATAAAATGGCTGCGAAAGCTGCTCTAAGTGAATAGATTCTTCCAGAGAAGCAACATTTTGAGCAAGTGATGAGCCTATAGGTGAAAATGATGCAGATATCGGAGTCATGTGTCTACATGTAATATCTTCCACACTCATGGCAGATCTGGATCGGGGAATTCTAGATGCGGTCACTTCATAGGATGAAGCTATTCTTATTGCTTGTACTGGCGCATGCATAACCGGAGTAGTGGCTCGTCGAAGAGCTGAATCATCTGCCTCGGTATCTTCATTCAATTGCACTTCAATCAAGGAGTTGACATGCATAAATAATGTATTTATGGGTCGGTCACTTTCAAGGATTGAACTCTCTTTACTTAGGACAAACTGGTGAGGTACGGGTGAAGCTGACAGTGAAATTGCTGGTGAATTACTCGTAAAAGATCTAATATTTCTCTCTTCCGAACTCATTTCTGCAGATGATCTAGTAACCTGAGGAACCAATCCGTCAGCAGGAGGATTTATTCTAAACGCTTGTTCAGGAGCATGAGTTGAGGTCGCCGACCAGACTTCATCCTTAAGCTTATCCTCATTCAATGAGTTGGGAGTAATGCAAGTCATATTCACTTCCGACGTTGCTGAAGCAAATAATTTGGCAGTATTAAACAAGGAATCATGCGCAGTCTCTTCTATATTAAGAGGATTGGAACATTTATCCGATAGCTCCATAACGGGAGCCTGAGTTTTTCTTTCAAACTGCTCGCCCGTAAACATCAATAAATGTGATCCATCTGAATCTGAGTATGACGCCCTAATAATTAAGTCCTTTAGAGGTTTTTCCGTCATGGAAACAGATAAAGAAACTTTATTTTTGCTGAGCTCTTCGTTTAGGATGTAAACCGCTTCTGGTGGATTGGAGTTAACACGTTCCGCAGTAGAAGTTCCCCATGGAGACACATCCCGCTTGATGCCGAAAATATCGGATGTTGCCCCATCAACGGACTGCTTATTAGATAATCCAAAAGTGATAATCGCAGAAGAATGCCTGGAGAATTCTCCGCATGAATGTGAAACGGAAATCGTAATGCCTACCTCATGAATAGCAGGGGATAGAGCTTCGGATAATATCACCGAATGTGTGACAAGTGGCTCGTTTAGCACTGAAAAATAAACTGATTCATCTTCTAGACCAGGCTTTATCGAGCTTTGTATCTGAAGCTGAAGCGATAACTCACTTTTGTGACCATTGCTGACTTTACTACTTACACTGCATGGGACAGAATGAATTTCACTTGAGCTGATTACAGGCTGGTCTTCGAAGGAAACAACGTGAGAACTGATCACAGCTTCTGGTGCTTTTATAGCATCTTCTGCCAAGCCTGGACCAAAGGAAGTAACTGGATTTAGTTCGCTTTCCGAGGTTGGTCGCAGACTATTATCGCTGATACGATGACCAAGTGACAAGACTGGAGATGCATTACCTTCAAGTGTAGCCTGTTCTTCGGACAGGTTAGCAAGAAATTCAGGGACTTGATCAAGTTGTTTGAGCGGAAAAGCTGAGTCTTCTTCAGGCCCAAGACTAGGAGATTTTATTGATTGAGCATCATCTGACAAGACAGGAGTATGAGTACCACTGCCCGATCTCGCTGTCGATCCACTCTGAATCATGTTTAGCATTGGCTGCTCCTCTGGTGTGGTAAGATAGGGTTCATTAGACTTTGAATCTTCCGCATAGTGATGAGAAGATAGTATGATTTTTGATTCCTCCATCAAGTCGGGTTTCTCACTACTTTGTTGACCTGAGGTTTTGGCAGTCGATCTGCTCGGAAGTTGACCTGCCGTCGGTTGGCTGGTTTCCATCGAAGAAATTCTCTCTTGGAGAGGCTGTGCTGGTGAAATTACCGATAGTTGTTCAGAGGAAGGCGTGGGAGAGCTCTGCTTGGCCTGCGAAGCAGGCTGTGGAGAATGCGGGTTAACCGAATACGAAGATGATGTAGTTTTTTCTGCAGCAGTCCATCCTATAGATGACGATAGACTCGATCCGGGTATTTGGCTTTGGGCCTTGGTAACGGGCACGGCTTGAGGAGCAGGGAGCGTAGTCTTAGGCTTGGCAGGTTTCACAGAAGAGGGCTGCGATTGGCTGCAAAGTTGTGGCGAAGTGACTTTTGGTGCTTGAGGTAGAGGAGGCGTTTTTGGAGGAGGAAGGGAACTTGTGAATAGTGATGACGGTAGTTGCTTTACAGGCCGATTATCATTTTCTGTTGAGGCAACCGATCCGGTTATAGCGCCTGGAGCAGAGGATTTATTCTTCCAGGAGCAAGTAGGAGTTTGCCGACTTTCCGTAGAACCAAATGAGGAAGCGGGAATGGAGGGACCAACAGTGCCTCCAGACTCAGTCGTTAGTTTGTAGGGGGCCATGGGTCGAGTCGGTCGGTTTGCTAAAGTAGGTGGTAAGACTTCTTTTCGAGGCACCTGATTCTTGGGGGCAGCACGAGCCTGTACAGGTTGCGCAGAAGGGACATTAGTTCGGCGATAAGCAGCACCCTGCAAAGTAGGAGTAGTAACGCCTGTGTTTAGTAAATTTCCAGGAGGGACAGATCTGCGCCAACCTGGTCCAGCTGATTTTGAAGGAGGTGTATTTTTGATACCTGGGTGGTGTCTATGGCTCGTTTTTTGCTAATGCCAAAAGTGGATTAATGTTTGATCAAAATAATCGAACGAATGGCCAAAGCGAACAAAGCATGGAACTCAAAAAATAAAAACGAGAAATAAGACGACCCTTAGCGTTCCAAAGTTGACCGGTTCGTTTGAGGATAAAACAGAAACCCAAACGCAAAGAGGAATAAAACAAGCAAAACATAAACAAAGATAATTTTTACAAAAAAGGAAGAAAAATAGGGAGTGGGGAGAATATTAAAAATTATAAAACTCGCTTGCATCATTAAATGGATTGTAGAATTAAAAAAACCCTCATTACTTATTATGGATTTTAAAGAAAGAAAGTCAAAAAGCATTCAGAATAATTATACCTAGTCGAGTACAGATTTTAAAATAAGATCCTCTTGCAATTCCAGTTTTTAAGGTGTATTTGGGTGGTTTAGATACAGGCAGACTGACAACAAACTTTATCACTTAATAAGGAATCAGATTCTGCTATTTTAAATGAAAACTTTAATATCTGACCATAGATATAAAGACCAAGATGGTGTGGCCTTCTGTTTGGTCGCAATCTCCTTTAGTTTTATAGTATTGGTTCGACCTTGTTTTCGAAACTTGCTTGGAGCGTCAAGAAGACATTGTGGACGTACCTAGTCGCGTGTCCTCTGCCATAGAATTCGTGATTTCCAGCATTGGACCATTGGCTGGGTACACCCCAAAAGTTTCACCGGTATCGTAGTCGGGATTGTCAGTGAGAAGCGCCATCGTGAGAACAGAGTTACAACTTATCAAAAGTGACAAGTGAAGGTAATCCATTCAACCACTTTTATGTTCAACCATTATAGCATCACTCCTCGCCCCTCTTTTTTGTTCTACTTTCTAATGACGAATTTCTTTCTCTCAACCCCAATTCATATGGCCCATCCACTTATTCACACAATTATGTGCTCTTGTTTCCTCCAATGTCTCCTAAGAGATTATGGCTACATGTGGGTTTAGTTAAGCGTAATCATCTCTACCATCAGCAACAGATGTCATTTGCAGATCTCCTGGCCTTCATTCTGCCCCCCTTTTTTCCTACCCACCTGTCAATTGGCCGCTGTTAAACATCAAAATCACTGCTTGGTTGTCGGAATCTGGCTGACTAAGAAGCATCTATTCCCGACTTCGAATACGCCATATTCAAGGAGTTAGAGCAGATGATGATTCCGAGCCAATTCGTAGGAGGGTAGGAGGAAATGCTAATCAACACAAGGATCAAAAAACACCAGTGACTATGCAGAAAAATGGATAGAGAAATATTGGAGATAGTGGAACACATCGCCCTTACCGGCGACACAATTGATTGGAATGCAACGGAAAGACTAGCCTCATATGGGGAAAGCACCAGAAAAAGGAAGATCAGGGAGGTTGTGGACATCCTCTTTCGAAGAAACCTGATAAACAGGAGTTTGGAAGAGGGAAGAGTCAGCGATAATTTTGCGTACTGCCTGAGCATACTTGGAGCTTCAATGAATACATCAAAAGGAACACGCTTACGCCCAGGACAACGATTCAACAACAGAAAGAAATATCACCAAGGGCGGCTTATGAGGAACAAAGGGAAGTCAAGACAAGGTGACTGCAGTGAGAGGAATCAGGGGGTTCACCTGTGAGATGTAGGGTAAGAAATTAAAAGCTAAAGGTACAGGTGGGCTAGATAGAGGTAACCAGTGTGTGTGCGTTAGTGTCGTGTATAATTTTCGTATCTGCGTCGGAAAGATAGGTGACTGATGACAGACTTGACCACGGGGCATACCAACCACTACACACGTAGGAATGTCAACTTTTAAAACGAAAGGAGTGGGCTTTTCGCCAATCAAAGGGAAAAAAGGGAAGAGGTTCATTCTCGCACCAGCGGTTATGACTCAAGCCAGACACAGGGCCCCAAAGAATGAGACACAATGTGGGTAGGGATGAGAGAGAGGATAATTGAGTCCCGGGTTTGAAACCAAGTGAGAGGAAGATTCCCAGGCACTGACATGTGCATGTTCATGGGCATATACATATGCATCATCTGCTATAACTCCTCGAAAATGGCGTAATCGAAGTGTGGAACGGAAATTTCTTAGGCAGCCAGATTTCAGACAGCCAAGTCGTGATTTTGATGTTTAGCAGCAGCCAGTTGACAGGTGAGTAGGAAAAAAAATGAGGGGTCAGAATTTAGGCCAGGAGCTCTGCAAACGGCATTTGGTGCCGGTGGTGGAGATGATTACGCTCAACTAAACCCACGTGTAGCGACAATCTCTTAAGAGACACTGGAGGAAACGAGAGCACATAATTTTGTGAATAAGTGGATGGGCCATATGAAATGGGGTTGAGAGAAAGAGATGCGGCATTAGAAGATAGGACAAAAAAGAGGGGCGAGGAGTGATGCTACAACGTTTGAACATAAAATTGCTCAAAGGGCTTGCATTTACTTGTCA